CTTTCGCCAAATATTAAGGCTCATCAGTTTGGGTCCCCTGGTGGAACAGCGATAAGTTTATACACTTACAACGCTAAAATCCAGGGTTCGCTTCTCCGCGGTAGACAGAGTGCAGATAGTAAATTGTGTAGCTTTGCATTGAGAAAATAACAACTTTAGCCAACTGAGGAAGATTAGCGTATAGCGATAGTCCGCCATACTGCCTCCAACTGGCTCAGAATAACAATCGATTGACGTCATGAATCATGTATGAAGTGATAGTCCGCTTGCGCTGGAAGTTAGGTCTTGACGAATATTTCTTCATAGTTCTGTAAAAATGCATATTTAGTGGAGGTCTCTTTTTGTTTCGGGGTAAAAGGGCCCATTTTCCCCTAAAGGGGGCCGAAAGCCGCCTGGAGAGGTCACCTGTTTTAGCCACTCGCCAATATACAGTAGTGTGTTGTCTGCCAGTCAGTCAGTCAGTACACACTAAAATTACGTTATATAAGGGACACTTAATGTTTCAATTTGTACTGTCGTGACGTCAGTAAAACGTGCTCATGCCATGAATCACGAAAAGAATTATGCACTCTGTAGGCTACAATACACCATGACATATGAACTTCGAAAGTAAACATTAAAAATATTAGGTCATCAAGAAATTAATGTCTCTTCTTTTTTAGAAGAAAAACCCGAACAACTTATAAATCAAAACAAACATTTAATAAATGAAATAGACCCCATTCTTATCGATGATGCTTTTCCATCTTACAATCAGATTGTTAATGCCCTGATTAAACAAATCACTTGGCTTTGAAGCAAAAAAACGTATCGATGACCTCATTAACACCTTCCTCATATGCCTACGTTTTCCCATTAAGATGATGTTGCAGCGAACGAAAAAGATGGTAATCTGGTGGTGCCATATCTGGAGAATATGGTGGGTGGGGGAGAACTTCCCAACCCAACTCCATAATCTTGTGTTGAGTCATGCGCATTACGCTCCAGAAAAGACGAAGCAACGTTCACACGTTAGAAACGATGATCATTGGAGAGTTCGTGAGGCACCCAAACACCTTCTTCAACAAGAGTCTACAGAGCATCTATATCAATTCCAACATGTCGGCCCCTGCTATCACAGTGTTTAAGGCTAAAGTCACCTGAACGAAATTTACTGAACCATCGTTGACACTTACGAACGTTCAAAACATTTCCATAAACTTCTTTTA